CACACACACACACACACACACACACACACACACACACACACACACACGTCCAAGGAGAGGAAAGGTAGGCCCTAATCTCCCTCCCCTTCTCGCCCCATCCCATTCTGTCCCACTGCCCCCTGGCCCAGCCCGGCTGACCTTTGACAGTGATCTGGGCAGTGGCTTCAATCAGACCCAGGGAGGAGATAGCCACACAAGTGTAGTTGGCCGACTGAACGATGTTGGTGAGTTCCAGAACATTCCGGCCGACAGGCATCTCATCTTCCCGGGTGAGCTCCTCAGCTCCAGCCATCCACTTGACATAGGGCATGGGTGCACCCACTGCTACACAGGTTAGGTTCACGCTGCCCCCGGGCATCACCTCATGGTTACTTGGGGGGATGGAGAAACGGGGAGCCACCCGGCGCACTGCAGGAAGAGAGGGGCCCAAAAGACTTGTGGGCCAGGCTGGGAAAGGCCACACCCAGGCTGCCCCTCTTTCCCCCTGAATGCCCCTCATTGCCCCAGCAGCTGTGGGCCAACCTGTGCTCCCAAGGCAGCCTAAGCCTCCCGGCCCATTCCAAGTCATCTCCTCCTTGGGACCAGGCCTGGAGGGTCCTCCTCAGTTCTTGTGCTTAGAGGTTAGGAAGGGGTCCCTCATTTGGAGTGGTGGGGTCAATGGACCTCCATGTCCTGCAGGACCCACCCAGGGATTTGGAGTCAGGAGAGAAAGACCCCAAGATCTGAAGATCCCACTGAGTCCCACAGCTGGTAAGGAACAGAGCCAGGATCTGTGCCAACTGCCTCCCTAGGGCAAGAGAGAAGCCCTGCACAGGGACAATTCTGTAGCCTCATTCAAATGAACCAGGCGACTGGCCAGACGGAGGATACCTGCAGCTCCAGGGGTCCAATACCCTGACCAGGGGTGTGGGTCAAGAGGATATGCAGTGGGAAGGGAGGGAGGGGAAGGGGAGGGCAGGGCTGAATGGATCTTGGGGTACCCTGGGTGGGGACCCTGCATGAGTCCAGCCCACAGGCTGCAGGAAGTGATGGGAGCCATATGTCCACGGGAGAGGGCGGGCTCAATGGGCATGACGATGGGTTTAACGTGATGAAGGGGTGGTTCCAGGCATGGGGGGCACACCCTGAGCCTCTCAGGGAGCAGGGCTTAGGCTCAAAATCAGGAAAAGATTTCTTGGATCAAAGGTGTCCTGAGGTGCTCGGCCCAGGGACATGACCCTAACATTCCCCCCTCCCTGCCTCCAAAGCCAGTACGACACATGCCGCACCCTCGGCATGCAGAAGGTCTAGGCCAGACTGGCAGGACAGGGAGTAGCCAACAGGCACGGCCTTGACAATGGCTGAGCAAGTGGACTGGCAGGCAGGAGACAGGATCACAGCGCCACACTTAGCCTGGTCTGGAAGAAGCCATGCACAGGCACACAAGCAGGCATGCAGAGGGAACTCTCAGAGCTACAATGAAGGGCTGCCCCTCCCTGCCCTGGGTCCCAAATTCCAGGGCCTCCTGGCCCTGGGAACGGAAACGGGTCAGGCCCTACCTCCTACAGCATCCAAACCAATTCCCTTCCTGATCGAGACGGAGACCTGAGGCCTGGAGGCCTCAGCCCACAGCACCTCCCTCACTAGTGTGGATACCATACTGGCCTTCTCCCAGCTTATGCCTTTCAACCCAAGTGTTTGTTAAGCATCTGCTGTATACATGATTTACATCAGTAAGACCCTTGTCCTCAAGAAGCTTATATGTTCTATAGGATGATGGGAGACAGGATGGGGGGGAAGGATACTTATACATTTAAATAAATACAAAATCTATCTAAAGGAAGTGCTAATTACTAGATGACAGTGCTAATGACTGGGGAGGAGGGTACTGGAGGATGGTAGTCCAAGGTCAACTGATCCCCAGCCTGGCCACGACCTTGGCTTCCAGAAAGATTGTCTTCATCCTGGCAGCAAACACTATAGGTTTAGAGGAGGAACATGGAGAGAACCAGGTCAGACAGGCATGGGCCCTGACAGCAGGGGAGAACAAAGGGATTTGAACCCAGGCCTCCTCGCCTCTGAGCCCCGAACCAGCTGGTCAGGATCATCATGCATTGAGGAGGCCCCTCCGTGCCAGCCCTGTGCTGGCTTCTGGAGTCAAGAGAGGCTCTGAAAAGGACCCTAAAGGAAGTCAAAGATACTACTAGGCAGAGACAGCCTGGCATTTCATCTATGAGGAGCAGCTAGCTGGTCAGTCTGGCTTAACACTAGAGTACAAGACTAGAAAGATAGGCTCATGGAGTCCATTCCTTCTCCACTATAGTTGAACGGCCTTTCTTCCTTCTCTTCTAGCCCCCAGGACTCCTTGAGGACAGTTTATGACCAGTCTGGCCTAGCCCAGAGCCCAATTCATCTTAGAACCCAGCATATGGTGCCTAGCTTGGCCCAGAGCCCAGAATATGGTGCCCAGCTTGGCCTAGAGCCCATGTCAAGTCCTAGTTGGGAGGCAGAGGCAGTTCACAGGTTTGTTTGCCACTCTGCAGCCTTGTTCTGTGTGTACCCTGTCTGGGCCCAGACCACGCCTGTCCATCCCGGTGGACTCCTTCTTGGATGGTGCACTCATACCTGCCTCCTCAAGGCCGTGTGCACAGACCTGCCCATGTCTCTCCTCTCTCTCTTGGTAGACCTGGCTTGGCAGCCCTACATCTGGGTGCCCCAGTCTGATGTACTGACACCTGGTTCTCTATGGTCCTATGAGCCAAGTCTCTTTCCACTCCATGCCTCAGACTGGTCCCCAGGCCCGGAATGCCTTTCCCTTGATTCCTCAGCCCTCAGAGCTGTCCCCACGGAGGCAGTCAGTAAACTTCTGGACCTGAGAGGTCTGCCAGCAGAACTGGACAACCACGTGTCCAAAATGCCAGACAGGGAGACCTTGCTCTATATGGGTTGGACTGGGTGTTTCACTATTAATTTTTTTTTAAAGTGAGGCAATTGGGGTTAAGTGACTTGCCCAGAGTCAAATAGCTAGAAAGTATTATGTGTCTGAGGCCAGATTTGAACTCAGGTCCTCTTGACTTCAGGGCCGGTGCTCTATCCTCTGCGCCACCTAGCCACCCCAGGACTAGGTGTTTCTAACAGCCTTGCCAGCTCTGGAAACTGGGAATTCTCAGTGGGGACAGGGCCCTCCTGGGTCCCCTGCAGCTCTGCTGGGATCCTGAACTACCCTTTCCTTTGCAATGTTCACCTGGGCTGAGAGGAACCTGCAACGGAGAGAACGGTTTCCTGTCTCTGTAACTCCAGAAGCCAGCACAGGGCTGGCATGGAAGGGCCTCCTCAATGCATGATGATCCTGACCAGTTGGTTGGGGGCTCAGAGGCAAGGAGGCCTGGGTTCGAATCCCTTTGTTCTCCCCTGCTGTCAGGGCCCATGCCTGTCTGACCTGATTCTCTCCATGTTCCCCCTCTAAACCTATAATGTTTGCTGCCAGGATGAAGACAATCTTTCCGGAAGCCAAGGTCATGACCAGGCTGAGGATCAGTTTGACCTTGGAGTGCCTCCCAATGCTTAGCCCCCAGTAGAGGTCACCAAGGGCAGGGACATAGGAACAGGGCCGCCACAAACCCTATCCCCAGGCCCAGAATGAGGACGCCCCTGACGGCTGTGGCAGCCCCTTTCACACTGGGAAATGAGTATGAGGCTTTTCTGACCCTAAGCCTCAGTCTGTCTCCCTGATTCCCTCTCCCCACAGCTCTGGTGCTGAGTCCATCCTTTGTTCTGGGGTACCCCCAATCTATAAGGCTGGCTCTGCTTTTTCTGCTGGGAGGGTTACTCCCCACTAGGCTTGGCTGGGCTGTCCAGCAGGGCTAACTGATAGCCCCCAAGGGAGTCTGGCCTTCAGGATCTTCAGTTTCACTGATCCCCTCCTCCAGATGGCCTCCACCCCCTTCCCCTGGGCTCAGGCCCCATTGAGCTTCTCTGGTTCTCTCCTGCCACCCCCATGGGCCAAATCCCATCTGGAAACCTAGGACTCTCCAGGTCTGGCCCTGCTCTGGGCTCCAGGGGAGGCAGAGGAGGTGACCGTATTCTCATGGTGCCTTCCTGCACTCCTCTGTCTCTGTGCCTGCTTCCCGTCAGGGGCTGTTATCAGGCTGCTGGGTCCGGGCCGTGGTCCAGGCTCAGTGGCGGTCAGAGCCTAGGCCAGGCTGCCAAAGGCCTTTCACCTTCCTTGCTTCCACAGTGGCCTGGCCACTAAAGCAATCGCTCCCTAGCCAGGGCCTAGAAGAGGGGAGGGAAGAGGGCACCTGGCCTGGGAAAGCCAAGGTTCCCCCAGACTTCTCTACTCCCGACACTTCTCATGTGCGCTGCTGAGGCCTCAGACAATTTCCCAAATAGGGCCTTGCCGTTTTGGGATCAGATTTCAACTGTAACTTCTAAAGTCTAATTTCTGTGCTGACAACCCCCTATAAAGGGGAGGGGGGCTGGGGAGACATCAGCATTCACAGAGTGACAGGCTAATGGAGAGGGGTAGGGGTAGTCCGCCCTGCTGGCAATTTGCATTCACTCTCCGAAATTTCTGTGATGAAAATACCACAACATTAAGGCTGGGGGAGGGGAGGGATCTGCTGCCCCAGGACAAAATACCTCTGATAAATAACCTTGTAGAGGCTGTCACCACTGGCAAGCTAATTAAACTCCTGGGCTGAGCAAAGCCGGGAGACGTAAGATATAATTACCGGGGCCAAACAAACCCAAGGCAGCCCCCCAGTATTTAGAAACTCAGCTCTGCCGCCCACTGAGTATTTACACGTTGTCTCCAGCAGCTTCTGAGGCTGTCTGGGGGTGAGGCCAGGCCCAGAGCTCCTGCCTCCCTGCTGATGAGCGCTTTCTGAACTCTCTAAGCCCAGTCAGCAAAACAGAGTAAGTGAACAGCCCCAGGGCCCAGGAAGGGCTGGCCAGAGGCTCTCATCCTGAAATCTGAGCTGAGCGCGTAGCTCTCTCCCCCTCTCCCTTTCCTGGACAGGCTCCATCAAGCTTCAGCAACTCAATCCCCAGAGAACAGTGAGAAAAACCACCTAGCCCAAGGCCCAAGGGAAAGTGCCTTCCAGAGTCCAAGAGGAACAGATGGGGCTTGGAGGAAAAGACCGGGAGCTTGACCCCAAGATGAAGAGACCAGGTCCCTAGGGTGCCCTATGGCCGAGTTCTCAGGGACAGGAAGAAGCCAGCTTCCCAGGGGTGTGTGCACTTAGAAGAGTAGCCCTGAGGGTCTGCTGGGTAGGTGGCTAACTGCAGAGGGCTGCTGCTTCTCCCTGGGCCCTGGCTTCAACGATGGGGGCAGGGGCCAGCGGGCAGAGCCAGCCCAGCAAGCTATGTCCAGAGCCAGAGCTGGCTTGGTATTTTAACAAGAAGTTGACCTTATGAGGCCCAGCCCAGAGCATGCACAGTACCCAGCCCTTATCCAGGTGCATGCAGATGTCACGCATGAGTGAACATGTATGCACCTACACATATGGGCATGCGTAGGCAGAGGAGGTGCAGGATGGGAGGGCCTTCAGGCAACAGCAACATGCAGGGTGTGGGGGGGCAGGTGAGGAACTGACGGCCCCCACCAGCCCTCCCAATGAGCCTGGCCCAGCCGGCCTAGCTGATCCTCAGCCCCAGGCCAACAGGCAGAATTCAGGCAGGTGGTGGGCAGGTGGGCCTGGGGGCAGCTCAGGGGCCGGCCAGAAGGAGCACAGCCCCAAGAGCCAGGCCAGCCCGGCTCCCCTGTCCCTGCAGCCAAGTCCCATCTGACCTGCGGGGCTGTCGATGGAGAGATAAGAAGTGAAAGAGACCAACCTTCTCGCTGATCTGAGAGATGAGAGTTTGGGTTGATGGCAGAGTGCGATGAGGATGAAGAGGGAATAAAAAAAGACAAGGAGAAACACAGAGAGAGTAAAAACAGACCAAGCTTCAGCTGTCCACACACCACGAGACGAGACAGACGAGACGTCCTTCTGCCCCACCCCCGCCCCCACGGGCTCACGCACACGCACACACGGCTGGCCCGCGCCTCTCACACACAGACTGGAGACTCATGGAGAACGAGGTGGACACTCGCGGCAGGAGCTGGGAAGGGGGGCACCCGTGTGAGCATGACCAGAGTGGCAGCAATGAGGAGGGAGGGAGGGAGGAGGGGGCCCTTCCTAATGGGCCTTCCCTCCAAGTGGAAGGGCTGGACCCTGAGGCTGTCCCCCCATTCCTCTGTACCTGAGAACAAGCACTGAAGAAGAGTCCCCAGGGACCCTGGCCTGCCTCCCTCCGAGCCTGTGGGGCCCAAGCCTGGTGATGATGCCTAACTCCCCACCACCATCCCCAGGAGGGGAGTGTGGACAGCTCAGGCCCAGCCCCCTCCCTCCATGCCTGTGCAGGAGAAAAAGAGAGAGGTCATCATGCTCGACGTGGGCCCTGAGGGCTTCGGGGGCAGTGACCTCACCCCCGCTGTAACCAGATCCCAGTTAGGCCTGCCCAAGGGGAGGGAGGGCGTCAGGGAGGCGGCTGCAGGCACGGGGGAGACAGGAATGGGCAGACCTAGGCAGGCCCCGTCTGGAGGTGAAGTCTGACTCGGGGCCAGGGGATGGTGGAGAGGGCTGGCCCCGGAGGCCTCTAAGCCTGAACACGCTGACTTGAGTCAGAGAGAGCAGCCCAACTACCAGGAAGGCCCCAGGGCGGGTGAGTAGGATTCAGGAAAGGGCACCACAGACCCTACCCGTCTGTGTCCCAGGGCTCTGATCCCACAGCAGGGCCGAGGGCCCAGAGAAATAGGGGAGACCTTGCATGGCGGCAGGAGGCCAGCAGGTAAAATCAAGGCCAAGGTCCCTGCACCGTCATCCAGACCATAAGCCAACTGCCAGCACTGCTGAGTGTAAGCCTGGGAAGGAGGGACCCAGAGGGCTGGAGGGCCTCCTTGTTGGCCCCTCTGCTCTGTCTCCCAACTCCAGGCCTGTGCTAGGGCCATTCCCCAAGGCCTCCTTCCAGTCACGCTCTTCAGAGCCCCAGCTCCCTTCGGAAAGCCTTTCTTCAGAGGCCATCTCCTCCTTTTCCTGGGCTTGGCATTTGTCAGGCTCAGCCCCCTCCTCCTCCAATCCTTGTCTGCCTGTGCCCAGTAACCTGATGCCTGAGCCCTGAGACCCACTTCTGCCACAGTCCAGCCCCGGGGTGACAAGCAGGTCTGAGACGGGCAAGCCCCATGCCTGGAAAGCCTCTTCTACAAAGAAAGCAGGCAAGGACTAGGGGGCAACGGGGTGGCTCCCCCAGAAGTCCTGGACCCTAACTCAGCAATCTACCCATCGAGGAACAAGGTTTGAGCAGAATAGCTAAAGGAAGGCGGGCTTTGGGGGCTCCACTGAGCCAGACTCACCTCAACCCACCCCGACAAATGCTGACCCCACATCTCCTGCACACAGCACAAAGTCAAGGAGGATGAGACCAGGGAGAAAGTGGTGAGGAGGCCAAGGAGGGACAAAGGCCTGGGAGAAAAAAGGGGTGGAAAAGAGCCTCCCCAGATGACCAGAGTGGCTTTGCAGAGGGCACAAGGCGGGAGGGATGGCAAACACACAAGACGCTAAGTCAGCATCCAAAAGGCTCCTGACAGACTGCGGAGACGGGCTGACTCGAAGATCAAATTCACCAGGGACGAAGACAAAAAAGCAACCTCCTAAGCACAGGGTAGGGGTTAGACACCAGCTTGTCTGACAAAGATCAGGAGGCTCCAGTGGGCCGCAAACTCAGTCAGTCAACAGTGTGACTGATGAGGCAGCCGAAAAAGCTTATCTGAGTGGCTCTGGGTGCCAAGGTTCATGAGCAAGGACACGGATCTTCAAGTGGGAGAGTGTCCTAAGGAAGGCAGCCAGGCAGGAAGAGAGCCTGGAGTCTGCATCTTGGGAGAAGCAGATGAAGGAAGCAATTTCGGGCGCCATGTCTTCAAGTACATAAAGGACTATCCTATGGCAGAGGGACTCACTGTGGTCTGCTTGGCCCCAGAGGGCAGAACCAGGAGCGAGAGTGGGCTGGGGCTGCCTCGCAGGTAGTGAGCTCCCCACTGCTAGAGGCCTTCACACAGAGACTGGTGGGATGCTACAGTGGACATTCCTTTCAGACGCAGGTTGCACTGGATGCTAATAAAATCTTGACTCCTGAGATTCTGATTTGGCCTTGGTCTCTCACTCTTGAGACCCCGTGATTCTGGGCTTTGCAGGGGAGGGGAGGATTGCAGCTGGCAGCCACAGAGACACAACAGTGTGAGTCATGTCTCTGAGACCCCAAAGCTAGGACAAGTTACCCCTGGGGAAGTGGCCTGGCATGACCTGGAGGCAGATGATTACAGAGGGCCTTGAATGCCAGGCTCATGAGCCTGGACTTTACTCAGTATGCAAGGGGGGGCATGATGAAGACTCCCATGCCGCTCTAAGATGCAGCTCCAAGGTGAGCTCCGTCCCCAGGCAAGCATGGCTGACAGGCACACACGCCCAGGTTGGGCCCCTTCGAGGAGAAAGACGAAGTGAAACTCTCCAAGGATGGGGAGGAACAAGACAGATGAAGAGCTGAGAGGCAGAGTGCAGTGGGCTAGTAAGTGGTGAGTTCCTCATCCTTGCAGGTGTTCAAGCAGAGACTGGATGCCCACTTGTTGGGGACACGGCAGGCACAGGTAGGAAGGAAGCACTCTGGGATGCTGGGAAAGGTGCCCCTCTGGTGGGAGGGGGGCAGACCTTGTCCCTTTCATAGCTTCCTTCCTGTGACTGGAGTGGCCTGGTACTGCCACTCATCCTCTGACCACAGCACAGCGCCCGAGCCCCTTTGTCCCTACTCCGCTGAGCGGCGAGGGGGCAGGGACGGGGGAGAGGCGAGCCACTCCCAGCCCACCTGCCAAGACATCTCTGTAGCAGAAGCCACAGCAGAGAGACGCATGACTATCGGTCCAAGGTGAGTCACAAGAGGAATGAGGCGACCCTCAAGCAGATGCTGGTGCTGGAGGCGCTGCTAAGGCAGGCACAGGCCCTGCCCGCAGGGAGCTCTGACTCCAATGGGAGACGTGATACTCTCCACAACACAGTTCAATGGGAGGACTCTGAATGCCAAGATGAGCATCCCAGATTTGCTCCTGGAGGTGACAGGAAGCCCCTGGACTTTATTGAGTGTGGGGTAACAAGGCTGGACCCGAGCTTTTCAAAAATTCCTTTGGGGGCTGAGTGGAGGCTGGCCTGCAGGCAGCTCGTGCAATGGCCCAGGTGAGGAGGGTCTGCAGGGGGTGGCAGCGTCAGAGAAGAGAAGGGAGTGTATTTGAGAGAGGCTGCAGGGTGAGAGAGATTGAGGAGACCAGGATGGTGGTCACCGGTCAGTGACCAGGATGGTGAGCTATCTGGGGCAGGCTGTGGCTGAGACACCAAGCAGACCGCTGGCCCTCGACACGGGGGCCCTGGGCAGAGAGACCATCTCGCCCGTGGCAGGTACTTGTGTTTGTCATCGTTTCTGAACACAGTCCTGGGGGACCTGCTTACTAAACGTTTGTTGACTGAGCTTGGTCTGGAAGCAGGAGTTAAGTATCTTCCCAGGCAGAGAACACTTTGGGGAGTAGGGACTGATGGGTGCACCACCCAGGGGAGGCCTGGGGAGTGGCCACAAAGCAGGGTGTGGTAAGGAGACCCGAGCACTGGGCCACTTGGACCTGGGTCCCACTTCAGATCACACTCCGGGGAGTATCCTTGCCTTGAATCCTGCCCACGCTGACTGCACAGAAGGCAGCTCCCAAGTGCCCCAGCCTTGAGCAGGGGATGATCCTGCCCACCCCGAGGCCCATCCAGGCCACACTCACGCACCCGAGCCCCGAGGGGCAGAAACACACGTGTGAGGGACAAGGAATGACCAAGAGATGGGGGCTTGAGGCCACGGCACCACCTCTCCAGCCCAGAGGGCACAGCTGCATCAGAGGAGGGGGAATCACGGCAGGCCATCAGAGTCCTCCGCCAGGGCCCGCCTAGGCTCCTTACCTCGCACATAGAGATTCGCGGGGGCTGAATAGCGTGTGCCTGCAGAGTTGGTCGCCACACACTCGTACTTGCCCTGGTCTGACTCCTCGCTGTTTTCGATCTGCAGAGCTCCTGTGTTCAGAGAAAAGACAGGGCAGGGTGTGAGAATCACCTGGGCAGGGCTGGGAGCATCGCAGGAGTGGAGCAGGTGTAGCCTACCCCTGAGGTCACTACACACCATCCATGGAGCCTAGGCCTGGGCGGCCCCTGGATCCTGACGGCTGCCCAACCTGGCGGGGAGGCAAACCGAGCGACTTCCAAGCTCCTCTGAGACGGCGGGGCTGGAGAGAGGAGTCACTGCCCTGCATTAGCGGGCTTCAAATCCTACCTCTGATCCTAACTAGTTGTGTGACCCTGGGCAGTCCCTTCCTGTCCCTGAGCCTCAGGTCCAACCTCAGGATCTGGGTGCTACTGCTGACTAAGGGCCAGCATGCATCCCGAGCCCCCCGGGAAGAGCGCAGGGGCTGGCAGGACCAACCCCACGGAGACAAGGGCAGTGGGCTGGGCTGAGGACCACCAGAGGAGATGAGTGGCCTGGGGCCCCCGCTGCACCCCTGCCCCTCAGGGAGAGGAGAGAGGAGGGAACAGGGGGCCTGGGAGGGCCAGGCTTTGTTCACTCTCCTAGGCCCCTGCTCCCCCAGCACCCGTCCTCTTCGACCTCAGCAGCGACTAATGGGCTTCGACCATGACCCCCTACATAATTCAGGAGGCCAAATGGAGGCTCTAGTTTGAATCTGGGTCTCCTGGGAAGGGCAGGGCAGAGCTAGGGAGGGGGAGAAATGAACTCGATCACTGCTCTCATGCAATAAAGATGACATGATGGTCTGGCTCTGGGGCTCTGCAGTTGGGGGGAGGGGGAGCCCACAGATGCCCAGGAAAAGAAAGAAGGCAGCTCCTGCCACCTCCACCCCCTACCTCCAAGGCACAGCACTTGGCTGCTCCTTCCCCTTGAACCCCGGGCCCCCAGAGGCAACGAGGAACTCCCCAGGCCGGCGACCTGCCGCTTACCTCAGGGGGAGGAAAAGGGCTGTGAGAGGCAGTCGGGCCTGGCCAGCTCCCTTGGGACAGAAGCCCAAGTGTCAGGGAGCCACAGGGAGGACCGAGGCAGGCCAGCTAGCCTGGAGAAGCAGGGGGGAGGATGAGAGGGAAGAGGAAGCAGAGATGAGGATGAAGAAGAGCAGAGATATTCCAGAACGGCAGGGGCCACATCAGCACCCCCGCCTCAACAACGATGCCTCTGCTTGGAGACCCCCAGCACATGCAGCTACCATGTCCCAGGGAAGTCCGCACCCCTCCAGGACAGCTGATGGTAAGGACGTCAACCTGCCTAGCCATAACCTCCCCCTGCAGTTCCTGGGCTGCGGCTGCTGCCAGGGGACAGGGGCGGGGTGGGGATTCCTGGTGTCAATGCAGTTCCCCACTCAGCAGTCGATATCCTGTAGAAGCTTTATCAGAGTCCTTGGCACCCTCCACACTGTGACAGCCTGGGGGGACAAAGCCCAGTGCTTCTGCCTCCTCCATCGATGGCTTCCTCCTGCCCAGGGGAGACTCTTGGTGCGCAGATGTTGAGGCCACAGGGATTCCTGCTGGCTCGGGAAGAGACCTTCCTCTTGTGATCCTCTAGGCCTGACGGGAGACCTGCTTCCTACATTTCGACCCCAGCTGGGGCTCGCCTTGCTTTGTTTTCCCTTCAAAGCTCTTCAGACCTAGAACCCGTCCTGGTTCTAGGTTTGTCAGTATCAGTTGTCCAGAAACCTCAGCCCTGCTCTGGTCCAGGTCACCCTGCCTGCCTCGGGGATGCCTTCCTTTTTTTTTTAAAAAAAAAATTAGTATTTTATTTTCCCCCAATTGCACATAAAAACAATTTTCAAAATTTGCTTTTAAAATTGAGTTTCCAATTCTCTCTCCTTCCCCACCCCCTCACTGAGAAGGCAATCTGATATAGGTTGTACATGCATAGTCATGCAAAACATATTTCCATGTTAGTCATATTGTAAAAGAAAACACAGACTGAACTAAAAAAAAAAACAAACAAGCAAAATAAAGAAAGTTACAAAAGTCTGCTTCGATCTGCATTCAGGCTCCACCAATTCTTTCTCTGAAAACAGACAACACCTTCTACCAGAAGTCCTTCAGAATCGTCTTGGATCCTGGCATTGCTGAGAACAGCTAAGTTATTCACAGTAGATCATCACACAATGTTGCTGTTACTGTGTACAACATTCTCCTGGTTCTGCTCACTTCACTTTGCATCAGTTCATGTAAGTCGTTTCAGGTTTTTGAGAGCATCCTGCTCGTCATTTCTTACGACACAATCGTATTCCATCACAGTCACATATAACAGTTTGCTCAGTCATTCTTGAGGATGCCTTCCTACAAAATCATCTCTCCTCATATGAACCCATGGGTGCTAGGAAGGCAGAGGCAGCCGGGGTCCTCGCACCCACCTCTGCGTCTAAGCCTCTCCAAGTGCTGGGTCTGTTCTTGCAGGGCCTGACCAGTTGTTTCTTCATCTTCATCCTCCAGAACCGCTTCCCTTGCTGCCCCCTCCCCCATCCTGCCCCAACGTCATCTTCACTGCTGTCACCAGTTCTGGGACCATGAGGGGGAAGAGAGAAGTGGGGCAGGTGGAGAGGAGATGGGGATCCAGGGATGGCATCCTCATCCACCTACTGAAAATGTTCAATCCAAATGGAAATGGAGCTGGGGGATGGACTGCCAGAGGACAGACAGCCCTTCTGAGCATTCCGCCCCGGCTCCTCCCCACCAAAGCCTGCTGGGACTTTCACTAAACACAGGACAGGCTTGTTGGTGTGTGGTCTTGCCCATTCGACTGGGAGCTTCTTGAGGGCAGGGATGGCGTCCTTCCTTCTTAGTACCTGGACCACGGTAAACACTGACTACATGTCTGCTGACTGACACAAGGGATGCCAGGAGCAAGGAGGGAAGGCTGGATGGAGGCCAGAATGTCCTCCCTGGGTGGGACAGATTGCCTCTGGAGGTGGTGAGCTGCCCCCAGCCTGGGGTAGTTTCAAGCAAAGGCTGACTGGCTGCTGTCACAAGGATTCCTTCTCAGGTCTCTATCAGACCAGAAGCCACTGATTTCCATTCAGCCCCACTCCCCCAGGCCACCTCCATCTCAGAGAGGAGGCTGGGGTTGTGGAGTCCTACAGGCAGGCTCCCTGCTAACTTTGCCACAGGCGCTCCTAGGCCATCTCCCTGGCCCTGCATTAAGGCGCTTGAAAGGTATGGTTGGTTTGGACTGAAAAGGACTGTTTCTTTCCCTGGCTGGGCAAAGTTGCTGGTGTCCTCACAGTGCTTACAAGTGACAAGAACGTCCAGGGACTGGAGGGGGGAGGAAGGAGAGAGAGCCCCGGCCTGGGATATCCGTGGGGTGGGGAACCCGACTTCCCCAGAGAGGCCCCAAGCACAGCTCCTAGGAGAGGGGGCACTTGGGGCACCACCTGGTTTGCCTTGTGTCCCCGGAGCTTCCCATTACAAGAGCACTTAGACTCCAAGACACTACCCCAAAGTAGCGTGGCACTGACCCGGGAATCCAGGAAGGCGTCCCGGCTTTGGAAGACAGGAAGGAGACCAGACAGGGATGGAGGGCACCTTAGGCACAGGGTGCCAGAACAAAGGCAAATAGGAGAAGACCAGGCACTTCACCCTTGGCAACAGGAGACAACAGAAGACGTGTGAGCACAAGTCACATCATCAGGGCATGACCAGAGGACAGGAAGAATGGCCTGCGTGAAGCCGAGGGAGCCATTCAGTAACAAACTGGGATAGAAGAGGGGCCAGAGGACCCAGAAAAACCCTGAAGGGGACAATGAGGCAGAGAGAAGCAGAACAGGAAAAAGAACTAGCTTGGGTTGGGGAACATGGCAATTGGCTGGGTTTCCAGGAGAGAGGTCAGGGCTGGACCCCTAGACTAGGGGAGACCTCCCCATGGGGGTGCTCTTGGTTAAGGAGAATGCCAAAGGAGGAAAGCAGAAGCCAGACCTTCGAGTGCCCCTACAACAGGGTTTGTGATGAGGATTCGCAATCCAAGGAGGAGCCCAGATGGAACTAAGGAGGCCGTGTCCCCAGGTAGAAGCAGCATTGCCAGCATCAACAACAGCACAGAGCAGAGGATGAGGCCTGAGATAAGCCCAGTGGACTTCAGAGACCCCAGACAGGGCAGTTTAAGTTGGGGGCAATGGCCACTAGGGGGCACCACAGTGCACAGAATTAAAATCCAGTTCAGATACGCCCCAGCTGTGTGACCCTGGGCAAGTCACTTAACCTCAGTTTCTCCAACTGTAAAACAGAAATAATAATAGTACCTATCTCACAAGGCTGTTGTGAGGAACAAATGAGATAATATTTGCAAAGCGCTTAGCGGAGTGCCTGGCACACAGTAGGTCTCAATAAAAGCTTGTTTCCTTCCTTCCTTCCTTGCCTGTGGGCTCTCCCTTCCCCCTTCCCAGCCCATAGGGCGCCTCTTCCTGCTCCAGTTCCTTCAACTCATCCTCCGCTGCCAAGAATTTCTGAACCCAAATACAAGACTCTCCATGGACCTCGACCTCACTTGTGCTGATTGGATCCAGCCCCAGGCTCTGGTCTGACAAGATCTTTGGGATCCTGACCCTCGCGCACTGTTAGCCAGGCCACCCTGCACACAACTGGGACCCATGGTCAAGATGAGGATTGAAAGAAAGGTTTGTGGGAGATGGTCCAGAGTAGGCAGGGACCCCAGGAGCCCACTCCAAGGGCCCAGGGCCTGGGGGCGAAGGGCTGGTGCTTGAGGGAGCAGGGCTGTGAGGACTCTGTATCTGCCTCCCCAGCTGCCTTCAGTCCTGGCCCAGCTCCTCACGCCAGGCCTCCATCCCCCCCCGAAACACACCATAATACACTGCGGTCCTCACTTCAGCCTGCGGGCCCTGGGCCGGCAGCCTTCCCTCCTCCTGCTGGGCACCACAGCTGACTTACCGTACCAGCAGGCACTCTGGGCAGGTCGAGGCTCAGACCAGTACAGGCAGGGGCAAAGGGGCTGCTGAGGCTCTGGAGGGGCAGGCCAGCACAGACACACCAATCCCTCCCTCCTTCCCCATGACATGGACAATGAACTGTGGGACAGAAATGTGGTGTTCCAGGTGGGGAGTGGGATGGGGACAGCTGAGCTGGGATGACAAGTGTGGACATTCCACCTGGGGCTGACGGCTCCAGCCACCAGTTACTGGGGGTCACGAGCCCAGCCCCCAACAGGCCAGGCCCCGGACTCCTCGTCTCTCGGCAGACAAACCCAGCCCCACAGAATGATGTTCACTCAAGTGCGGTGGGCGGGCAGAGGCCTGGGGCCAGGCAGCCTGTTAAGGCCAGGGTCAGCTTGACAGGGGTGGGAGGTCTGCACCTGGGGGACAGAGGGAAGGGCAAGTCCTGGGAAAGGCTTAACTGAGCCCCCTCGACCTTGTCCAGGCTAGAACTAAGGACAGTCATCAGGGCTCCGCCAATCACTCTCCTAGCCATGGGACCCTGGGCAGCTCCTTTTCCCTACCTGGCCTCCTCTTTGGGGAATGGGGCAATACCGCTGTGTCAGCTGCCTCCCCTGGGGGCTGCAGGATGGGCTAGCCTTGGAGCCTGCGAGGGTCCCTTTTGCGGGCTTGGCTCACCGAACTGCCAGCCCAGTCCTCTGCCTCCGTCGCTGGCCTGGCTGGTCTAACCCGAACCCCCCCGACCCTTTGGCTATTCATACTTGCAGTGGGGGAGTCCACAGGAGTTAGGCGGCAGGAAGAAGTTAACACAAATGGGTGAGTGAGTGTAGACCCGGGGCCGCAGCAGACGCCGGGGATGAAGTGGACAGTAAATGGAGTGACACACAGGCGAGGCGGCGTGGCGTGGGGGGCGTGGCATGGCGTGGCGTGGCATGGCACAGGGGCCACAGTCCGCACTCTTACCTCTGATCGGTGAGCCCCCTGGCCAGGTTATGTGGATGCAAATAAGATCAGAGAGAAGCGTTAGTACAGAGAGGAACCAGGGTCACTGAGGCAGGAGCAAGCCCCGGCCCCTCAAAAAGGCAGTCGGACAAAAGGTGGCCTGGGCAAGGCTGGCACCATAGTGGGAAGGGCGGGGGGGGTGAGGGCACAGGATGCCGGGGAGGAGGATGGCCTCAGCCTTGCACTACCCTCTCCAGCCTTCCTCCCACCAGAACTGACTGTGATCTACTCAGCCTTTCACCGCTGCTGACCCCACCGCAGCTTCCCACATCACAGACGTGCCCACGGCAGACAGAGAGAGAGAGAGAGAGAGAAGGGGGTGGGGAGAGACAGAGGGAGAGAAAGGGGGAGAGGGAGAGAGGAGAAGGAGGCAGGTGCTGCTCAGAGCCCCAGGGGAGGCTGGGATGGGGCTCCCTGCCCCAAGTTTGCTGGTCCCCTGCTCCCTTGCTCCCTGGAGGGGTATGTATGGGTGAAGATTCACAGCGACTGAGTGACTGACATGAGGTATTGGTTTAAGTTCCTTCAAAGATCGACTTGAGGGTTTCTTTTTAATGAGCTATATAAAACACAACCAAGGGGCGGGGGTGGGAGGGTTTGGGACGGAGAAGGAAGCAAGAACGGGGTTCGGGCTGCAGCTCTTCCACTAACGGCTCCGTGGCCCAGGGCGGGTCCCTGAACCTTGCTGGGCATGCTCCTACCATCCATGCCCCGGGGCTCTCTTGGGGTCACATCTCCTGCAGCCCCTTTTTAGGATCCAGGTGAAAGGGGGCTCCTAAGAAAGTTCCAAACAGGCCTCCCACTCCCCACCCCCAGCCACTGTCCTAGCTCCTGAGAAGCCAAGGTAAGCCCTGGCTGGCCAGGTCTACAGTACAGGAGGGGGAGTCGCCAAGAAGAAGCACCTGCTGCAGAGACTGCAGACAAGATCCCATGGAACACGGAGGCAATGCCAGCGATGGGGGCTGACCTGGGGTCCTCTGTGGCCACCTGCCCTGCAACAGGGCAAAGACAGACACAGCCTATAAAGGAGACACCCAGGGGACAGAAGGGCCCAACCACTGGAGAGAAGGGGGGCATCAGAGACTGTTTCAGGCTGGAAGGCAGCACTTCCCGACAATGCAAATTTTTCTACAGAGGCCTGGGCTGCCCTGGAAGGTGGTGAGCTCCCTGTTGTTGAAAGTCTCCAAACACAGGCTGGATGGCAGGAAGGACTTCCTGACAGTCCGAGGTGTCCCACAGTGGCCTGAGCTGCCCTCCATCGTTGAAGGTTCCCAAACATAAGACTGGCTGGTCACTTTTGCACAAAGGCAGATTCGTTCTGACTAGATGCCTCAGAGGACTCTTCCGACTCTGAAATTCTACAATTCTGGACATGTGGCAGAGGCAGTGCGGCGCAGTGAAGAGCACCCCGCATTTGCAGTGAGAAGGCCTGAGTTCAAATTCTGGCTGGACCGCTGGATCCCATTGTGACCTTGAGCAAATTCCTTGCACTCTCTGGGCCTCGGTTCCTGTGAACGGCCACAGCCACTTCTGCTTTGCTTCCTGGGCTCTGATGATCCCAGGGTGGGAAGGGGCAGGGGCCAGGTAGGACCGAAGACCTAGGGGTACAGGGCCTGACTGGGGCCTCATCATTCCTGTCCTCCTGCCACTGGGATGGCTGCACAAATCCCGGGCCTGGAAACCCTCCCTAGGCACCAAGAGACTGGAGGGGGTGGCAAAGTGGAAAGAGCTGGGCAGCTAAAGTCAAAGGCCTGGTTGTGAACCTGGGGTCTGCTGAATACTAGCTGTGAGCTTGGACTAGATGGACCATCTGGGGCCTAAGAGCCCCCGCCGTCCTCCAGCTCCCCTTGGCTACTCCTGGGCCAAGACAGCCGGGGAACCCAGAGGGAAGACAGCCTAGACTCTGTAGCCAGCTGAGGCTCAGTGTAAAGATCAGCAGGCCCAGACTCACTGACCACAGCCAAAGTCAGAGCCCACTGGGAAGGCTGAAGCAGCCCTGAATGAGGGCGGCTGGGCTGGGGAAGGCCCCTGAGGATGGGAGGGGGGAAGTGCTGAGGGAGAGAAGGCCCAGGGTAGCCGAGTGTCTGAAGGGTGATCTGCTTGGCCTCAGAGGGCAGAACAGGGCATGGGGGTGGCGACGAGGCCAATTTGGGCGGGACGGCAGGAATGAGAGCCGGCCCAGGGCGGGAGGGGGCTGCCTCGTCAGTGTGTGAGCTCCCCATCACTGGTGTTCTGTGAGCCCTTGGGGACGTCACAGGACACCACACGTGGGGCTCGGAGTGAGTACAGAGGGTGGTCGGTCTCTCCAGCGGTCGGCGGGGCCTGGCCAGGCAGCACACACAAACCCAAGCGATGTGCACGCACCTCCACATCCACAGGCTTTATCGCGGGTGCCTTAATTAACTGCATTACAGCTGCCTCCATCTTGTTGAGTTTTAATTAAATTAAATGAGCAGATTCCTTCCCTGAGGCCCAGACAGTGGCTGGCGCGTAGTCCCAGCTGGTCTCCTCCCCCCTCCGGCAGCCTCAGGGGCCTGGTCTGCCTCCACGACCCTCCACGGAAGGAGGGAAAGCACGTACCCCACCTAGCCCCCTTCGCAGGGTGAGAGGACCAAGTGAGCCCCGCTCCCCAGCGAGGGGGGCCCCTGAGGCTTGCAGTCCTGGTCAGCGCCTGCCCACATGGAGCTGCCGGAAGGTCGGACAACAGCTGCCGCTCCTCAGCCCTTCCCAGAATGATGAGAATGTCCTCTGGGATAGGGAGGCCTGCTCTGAGGAGCCGGGCCCAGAGACGCCGGCCATGGGGGCCTTCAAGCCCCTGCACACATAGTGGAGACAGGAAAAGAGATGGAGCCCTTATGCAGCAAGGATGGTGGGGCCTCCTGAGTCCCCTTCCTCCAGGCTGGCCCCCAGGATCCGCAGCCCTTTGTCTCTCTTCCTCTCGGGTACCAGAGTGGCAGCAGTCATAGCCCCTGATGGGCTGGGGGAGCGTGGAGGCAATCCTGGACACTTGTTCCAAGACCTCTGATCACTCGAGGCTGATGCTGCTCCTGCCCTGGTCTGGCCAGGACACACAGGGCTACAGAAGGGGCTGCCTAGGCCGCTCCTGGCTTGGCCACATGGGGAAAGCCAGGGAACTGCAACGCTTCTCTCGGCCCAGGTGGGTGGTCCAATGGTTCTGCTGCCTCACTCCTCAAAGCTGCAGGGGGCAGCGCTCCACAGGGCTCCGACTTGGCCACTGGGTGGAGGGGAGGCTCTGACGCTACTCCACGCTTCCTCTGGCCCAACGTACCCTGTGGGCCTGTGGGGCATGGATGTGGCAGGTCACCCTCTTCCTCACTTCCTCCACTGAGACCACAGTATCACAAGGGAGCAGACAGACTCAGCCCAGGGACAGAGGCTCTGGGCTCAGAGAAGAAAGGGACACTTGGGTCCAGGATGGTGGGGGAAGGGTAGCACCCGATGTGTGTTCTCATAAACAAGAAAGATGAAACAAGGCTGGCTCTGTGGCCCACTCCAGGACCACCAGCCAGTCCTGCGGTGAGTGCCCATGGCACCCAGGCAGCGTGACCCCTGCCCGTGGACACGGCGTGGTCCTGGCGTGGTATGGGGAGCTCTTGAGGTCCCAGGCCAGCTTTGGGTTTTAGAACTAAGTGGGGCCTGGGCTCCTTCCAAAGGATGGCCCAGCACCTCACCTCCAGCCGGGGGGCACAGAGACACTCGTTGGCCCCACCCAGCCTGTCACTGTCCTTTCTGGTGTGGGTTTCTACCCAGGAGTAAGGTGAGGCTGCTGGGGGAGGCTGGCACCAGGGATCTGCTCAGGGGAGGGGCCTGGCACCACGGATGCACACGTATGACCTACAAGAGCTTGTGAGAGAGACTGCCCAGAGCAGCCCTCAGGGAACCTGGGGAGATGGCCCTGGGGACACACGTACCTGAGCGGAGCTGTTTGATGCGGCCATTGCTAGCAGCTGGGTCCACAGGCAGGAAGTCCTTGAACCAGGAGATCTCAGGATCAGGGTTGCCGCCAGCAGCACACAGCATGGTGGCTGTCCTGGCCTTCTCCACCACCTTCAGCTGGGGCCCCATGTCAATGGTGGGGAAGCCATGAGGCAGCTGATCCTCTGTGGGGGCAAAGAACAGAGGCATTTGTGAGCACCCAGCCCTGCGAGGTGCCCAGTGCATGCAGAGACCTGGATCTGGGAACCTGGCCCCTGCCGTCACAGAGCTTATGTCTGTGGGAGAGGACAGAGCCCCAGCCTGGCTCCATGGTAGGGCTGAGAAAGCTGCCACCAATGGTGGGGCTAGGGTTTCAGGGAAGGGGAGCTGACCAGAAATCTGAGCAAACAGGACCCAGTAGCACGTTTCCTTCCCTCTGACTCCTCCATCCAAAAGTCCATCCGGAGTTCCCTAGAGCTCCAGAGGGCAAGGAGAGCCCCATCATGCCCTTCCATGAGCCTCAGGCTGCCTGGGTCTGCTTTCCCCATTTGGATCCTGGAAAGCCCATCCTGCCTCTGGGGGCCCAGGGTCAGGGAATCACTGGCTTTACCAAGGCTGGAGACACCTCTGCCGGGTGTCCATGGGCTAGCCAGGCTGGCAGCCTACAATCCCCACCCCCATCTCAGAGACCTGGGTGTCCCTTACTGGCCGGTCTGTCTCCCCTTCCATTCTCCCACTGAATATAGACACCCAGAGCCCCTCAAGCTGGCTCCAACCTCACGTCAACCTGTTTTCCTTTGCCCTCTCTCTGTTACATCTGTTGTTTCTTGTTTATCTTCTAGCCCACCCTCAATGACTGGTACAAAAAGTCCTCCCTGTCCTCAGCCTAGCCCTCTGACAGATGAGGAGACCCTGCCTCGTCTCCTCTACTCCCTCCCGATAAATCATCAGTCCCAGGTGACCTGGCTGGGGCCCCCATCCCATCCCTTTACCTGCACAACTCTTCCCTCTGCTTTAAAGCCCAGTTCAACACCGTCCCCTCCAGGAAGCCCTGACCTCCACACCAAGGCACCCGTTTCCTATCAGACCCCACCCCAACTCCTTCCCCAGGTGCTCTCATCTCACTGAGCACCCCAGGAAGTCAGTTCTCTAAACTGTATTTCCTTTCCCCCAATGTCCGACACAGGACCCTGCACATACAGGGGGCAGTCAGCACACACAATGGTCGGGGCCTGATCAGAGCCCACGCCAAGCTTCCTGGCTGCCCAGAGGATTCCTGGGCCAGGGAATGGGCTGGGAGTCCCTGAGATGCTCCGCCCCCATGCATGGAAAGTTCCTCTGGAGCCACATATCCCTGAGAACGGAAGACTTCCAGACTGACGGCATCAGCACTTACGGGAGCTGAGAACACAGATTCAACGGGTCGATATTCCAACGGTGGCTGAACGCCGGCATTGATGAAAGAGTTAGCAAAACAGCAGCCGAGAACCCCCCGTCACCTTGTCAAGAATTAACTGGTGGAAGCTTGGCCGGACCCTCCACCCCCTATCCTGTCCTCACAGGGAGCCTGGGCTGGGCTCCTCCACAGTTCCCTGAGGCCCAGGGTAGGCCCCTGGGGGGCAGCCGCGGCACAGGAGCCTATGGGGGAGTCTTTCTCGGTTTCCTCATCTATGAATTGGAAACAATAACCCTCCTGCTGCCCCCTGTGTGTTGTGGACATGAGCAACACTCACAGCCTGTGCCCACAAAGGCACCAATGAGAAGACCAGAGGGCCTTGGCGTCAGGGAAGGATAGCACCCTGGCACCTGGACCTAGCACTCTTGGCCCATGTCTGTGTCTGGGAAGATCCCAAAGGCTTAGGAACTTCAGGGAAGCTTATCCTTTCAGCTCCCTCCATCTTCGGAGGGAAGTGAAAGCACGTGAGCAGGGGCAGGGACGGAGACTCAGCCCCTTCCCTAGCCCCCTTACCTCTCCAGCTGCCCAGCGCTTGGTCCTAGCCTTGCTCTTCTGCAGCTAACTCTAGGGTTTCAGGGAAGGGGAGCTGACCAAAAATCTGAGCAAACAGGACCCAGCAGCACGTTCCCTTCCCTCTGACTCCTCCATTCAAAAGCCCATCCGGAGTTCCCCAGAGCTCCAGAGGGCAAGGAGAGCCCCATCATGCCCCTCCATGAGCCTCAGGCTGCCTGGGTCTGCTTTCCCCATTTGGATCCTGGAAAGCCCATCCTGCCTCTGGGGGCCCAGGAACAGCCCAACTCCAGGCTTACAGTCTGGCTGTGGCTGCCCTCAGGGCCCTTCCACATTTAGTTCCAATGTGGAAAGGAGGGAAAGGAGGTGGTTCTGTGCTGGAGGGAGGGCCCTTGACCCCCCTTCAATCAGAGGGGTCACAGCCACGTGCCAGGGATGTTGTGGGGAGGGGAGGTCATGCTTTCGAGCAGGTCAGGCTGGTTGCTGGGGGAAGAGTGGGGGAGCGTTCCCAGCTCAGAGACCCCGACTTTGGGATCCTAGTAGCCTCAGAAATTTGCACAGCTTCAGGGGGCTGCCAGCTAGCCCTGCACACAGCCCATGGGCCTGGCTCCCCACAAAACTGGCACTATTCTGGCCCCTCCCAACAATTCCACTGCCAAGATTCTTCCAGAGATGGCAGAAATGCCTAGGTTGGCTGAGTCACAGCCTCACCACCCCACCCCGCCTGGGACATGTGGGGAGGAAGGCTCATTTCAGGCCTGAGGGAGAAGGGGGTCCCACACCCTCCTGCCTACCAGTCACTATCCTCTGGGCCTCCCTTACCACCCAGGCCTGGGGTTATCTCATCTACCACCCTGGATTTACAGAGAAGGAAACTGAGGCCCAGTGAGATTATACATGGAGAAAATGGCGATACTAGGATTGGAATCCAGGTCTCTTGATGATAAACCCAGAATTCCTTCTCTTGCATGTCACTGACCTCAGGCTTCAAGCCCTCTCTGGCCTGGGGTAGCTGGGGCCAGGGTCTCAGGCACCCACGAGAAACCCTCTTCTTCAATTACCTTCATTAACATCCCTGATAATAACCAGGACAAGAAGTGCTTTGTTCACACCTGAGGCCCACAAGGGTCACACAGCTGGAGTCAGAGCCAGGACTCAAACCCAGGTCCTTGGACTCCAAGTCCAGAATCCTTTCTAGTACACCAGTTGGGGAATGTCCTCGCCAGCCCCTGTCCCACTCTCAATGCCTTCCATACAGAGTGGCCTCAAGCAGGGAGGGAGCCGCGGGCTGGCCGACACGCCATCCACAAAGGTAGACGTAAGGCTCGAGGTGCACAGACACAACCCCACTTCTGTGCTCACTCACGCACTGTCTGGGGGACGATGAAGGACTGGGTAGGCATTCAAGCAACATTTATTCACAAATTTAAAAACATACGGATGGGATCTTGGAGCGCGGCTAGCAGCTGATGGACGAGCCTTCATCAGGATATCATAGAGGGGACGTGGTCAGAGCTGGGATGGCCTGGCGGCCTCTCCGGACAAGGAGGGGTAGTGAACTCTCGGTGTTCATGACCCAGCCAGGGTCTCTCCCTCCTCAGTGTCCCCCTGCTGCTGGGTCTGTTCTGGGGTGGGAGGGCAGGCCCCCGGAGGGAGAGCCCCTGGGGTCAGCAGCATCAGAAGGGACAGACTGAGACAGAGCCAGAGCTGGTGTGCAGGAACCTCAGGGGGCTACTTCCTCCCCATGGAGACCAGGGTAGACCCTGGCTTCCTTCAGTTCCTGCCAAGATGCCGCCTCCTATGGGAAGCCCCTCTTAACCTCTCCTGATCCCAGGGTGACCTTCTGTTGACTGTTCCCTTGTTTGTACAGAGCTCTGTGCACATTCCCATTAGACTGTGAGCTCCCTGAGGGCAGGGACTGTTGTCGGCCTTTCTCTGTATCTCCAGTGCTTAGCACAACACTTGGCACACAGTAGGTGCTTAATAAATGCTTACTGACTGACTTGATTTGCCAAGAGTCTGGACCTCTGCTCCTGAGACATCTTTAACTCGCTAGCCAGAACAAGGCCACTGCCTTCTCTCCCAAGAGGGAGGTGGGAGCCCGGCAGAGTGGACAGGTCAGGGGACCTGATCTAGGCCCCAAGAAAGGCCCTTCTCAGAAACTAATGAAAAGAAATGCAAGGGGCTGCTAAGTGGCGCAGTGGATAGTGAAGTCAGGAGGACCTGAGTTTAAATCTGGCCTCAGACGTAACACACACTAGCTGTGCGACCCTGTGCAAGTCACTTAACCCCAATTGCCTAAAACCAAAAACAAAAAACAAAACACACAAAAAAAAAATGCAAGGGAAGGTGGCCTTGCTGTACCAGATCTTAAATTGTATTATAAAGCAGCGATCATCAAAACTACTTGGTGGTGGAACAGTGGAATAGGTTAGGTATGCAAGACACAACAGTCAATGACTATAGTAATCTACTGTTTGATAAAGCCAAAGACCTCAGCAACTGGGATAAGAACTCACTATTTAACAAAAACTGCTGGGAAAACTGGAAAATAGTATGACAGAAACTGGGCATAGACCAAAATCTCACACCATACGCCAAAATAAAGTCAAATGGGTTCATGATTTAGATATAAAGGCTGATATTATAAGCAAACTAGAAGAGCAAGGAATAGTCAGTTTACTTCTCAGATCTATGGAGAAGGGAAGAATTTATGACCAAACAAGAGATAAAGAACATTATGAAATGCAAAATGGATGACTTTGATTACATTAAAATGAAAAGTTTTTGTATAAACAAAGCCAATGCAACCAAGACTAGAAGGAAAGCAGAAATCTGGGGAACAATTTTTACAACCAGTGTCTCTGATAGGGGCCTCATTTCTAAAATATATAGAGAACTGAGTCGAATTTATAAGAATACAAGTCATTCCCCAACTGATAAATGGTCAAAGGATATGAACAGGCAGTTTTCAATTAAAGCTATCTATAATCATATAAAAAATGCTCTAAATCACTATTGACTAGAGAAATGCAAATCAAAACGACTCTGAGGCATGACATCACACCTATCAGATTGGCTAACATGACAAAACAAGAAAATGATAAATGTTGGAGAAGATGTGGGAAAATTGGAACACTAATACATTGCTGGTGGAGTTGTGAAATGATCCAACCATTCTGGAGAGCAATTTGGAACTATGCCTAAAGAACTATAAAA